TTTTTTTTTTTTTTTTTTTCTCTCCCTTTGATTCCCCTTTTTAATTTGGATATTTAGTATTGAATTTTCTGGGTGAGAGTGAGGAGGAACAGAGAAGAGAAAACAAAAGGGGGTTCTGTTTTGTTGCTGAGGAAACCAAAGGTGGAAAGGCTATATAAGCACACACATATAAGTGTGACAAAAAAGTCAAGTAAAACGAAGGAATTAAATACTCCTTTTTTGGAAAAAAAAAAGAAAAGTCTAAATAAAGGTTAGAAAAGGGCATCTCATTTTATCCTAATTTTACAATATTCTTTTAGCTTATGTCCCTGGGGCTATTTTGCCTCGACGTGTACATGCATATCTTATAAAAGAAAATTTTAAAAAAATCTGTTTGAATTACACTTTCAATCATCGTATTTTTTGTATTTTGTAATTTTAATCTTTATTTTTTTAAAAGATAAGTATTTATTTAGGTAGATTAAAAAGAAAAAAATAGATGAACAAGAAGTGTGAAAGAAAATGAAATTATAAGTTGTATGAAAAAAAGAAAAAAGTGAGAGAAGAAAGAAAAAAAAATACGGTGGAATCCATATTAAAATAAAACCTGCTCATAAGCGAAATTTTTTTTCTAAAAGGCTTAAAAAAATTGTGGGAGCATTCCAAAAAAATTAAGAGTTAATCATTTATATATTGTCAGTGTAAAGTATTTTATACTAGCAACCAATTATATCTTTTAAAATTACTTATTTTATTATTATTTTATTAAATAAGAAATTGACATGACACTATTAAAAGATATGATTGGTTGCCAGTGTAAAAAAACTTTACACTGGTAGTATATAGATGATTAACTCAGAGATTAAATACGATTTTTATCCTTTTAATTTGAATTAAGAAAATATGTTAATAGGAATAAACATATTTTTCAAACACACTTTTATTTCTTTATATTTCTCTTAAATCAAACAACTTAAAATTTTACTCACTTTCTATATATTTATTCTCTCTTCTCTTATATTTCTTTCTTCTCAAAATCTTTATTACTCAAATAAAGTATTATCTTGAATCATTAATTCAACATTAGCCTATATGTAAAATGATCATGTATTTTATACTCTCACTCAAAGTCCAATACAATTAAAAGAAATGATAAGCTTTGGATATTTTGCCTTTTAATGTATCTAATGGGCTATGAGCCTTCAATACATAGAAACTAAAGAGAAATTATATATATTTTTGACTCAAATAGAAATTAAATAAAAAAAGACTTTAGGGTTGTTTATAAAATAGGATATGGTCTCCAAATCATACATATTATCATTCTCGTCTTTGTGAACCTCATAATTAACAAAAAAAAAAAAAAGCAAAAGAAAATTTAAAGAGTTCTCTTAAGAAATCTTATATAAATTTAGAAGACAAAATCGTTTGACTCTAAAATACATATAGTCATCATAAATTAAGGTATGTTTCTACTTATTCTTTATAATGATGAACATGGTTTGATGTTTTGGTTCTAGATAATAAGTTTCATTTATCTATTGATTTTGGTCTATTAATTTAATTCTCATAATTTAAAAAACACAAAATTTTAGTATCTTTTTTTATATATATATATATATATAGTTCATCACTTAGAACTACATGTGCTTAACTTAAAAACAAATTAAGGATGAGTGCCTAAAAAAAGTAAATATATCTTATTATTATAAGTAATACTGTTTAATTACATGAAATTATTCCCAACTATACATTTTTTTATCGTTCTTACTCTAGTGTGTATGAAATATTACAAGAGAAGTGGATAAACTTGTAGAAATATATAAAAAGAATTAAAATTGATGTAAGTAAATTTTAAAATAGGCTATAGCAAGTTTTTACATCTAGCATAAGGGATTAGCTTCCATAATATAATGAAATAAAGTTCTATAATAATAAGATGAGGAAAGATTGTCTTTGAAAGAAAAATAATATGTATATATATATATATCTACTTACCCAGAAAATAAGTTATAGTAGGCGGCTTACTTCACTAAACAACTTACCGTTTATATTGAATTTCAATGTTCTAATTGTAAAATTAAAAGTTCATAATGAATAGATCAATGACCTGTTTGGACAAATAATTTATTTAATAAGTTCTTATGTAATAAAAACTTATGCTATATGTTTTTAAAATTCAATAAGTAACAAATGCTTATATAATATTAAAGTGTTTGAATATATCATTATTTAAGCATGAAATGTTATCTTATTTTAAAAATAAAAAATTACAAAATAAATTTTCATTGAAAATGAAATAAAATAACTTTAAAATGTTTTTAGTCCCTACATAATAGGTTGATTTTGATTTTAGTTCGGGTATTTTTTTTTCTTTGTTTTTCATCTTTTAAATTTCAAAATATTATTTTAGTCCCTAATTTTTATGTGATCGTTTTTAACTACTTTTTATTTATTAAAAGATTAAGTGAACTTCTTAAATATTATATACGATTGTTGGTAAGATTATGTTAGTGTTTCACACCTTTAAAATTTCATATAGATTATTAAAATAATTGTTATTCATCTATCTTAAAATAATCGATAGGGACAAAAAATAGTGACTTTAAATTTTAGAGAGATAAAAATTAAAGAAAAATATTTTATAGGATCAAACAAAAAAAATTATGAGGACCAAAAATAATGTTTACAATTTTTAAAAGTGTTAAAATCAAAACTCCCTAATTTTACATGGACTAAAAACATATTTAAGGCAAATAAAAATATAAAAAGTAACTAAATAATTTTTGAAAATTACATTATACATCACAATAATATTACAAATAATGAAATTTTACTAGTCACCATTCACCTAATTTTAGTTTATAAAAAATAAAATTATTAATAAATATGAAAAAATAATTATATATGTAACTATGATTAAAAATTAAGAATCATGTATTTTAAAAATTAAAAATCAATTATATATATTTTATAAATTCATTATTAAAAGATTACTGTATAATAACAAAATTATTTCAAATGTGCTATTTTAGAGAAAAAAGCTACGAGTTATTATTTATAATAGGAAAATGTGGAATTTATAATAGGAGAATGTGGATTTTGGAGGGAAGAGATAAAAAAATAGAGAAGAGAAAAAAAAATAAAGAGAAACAAAAACTTTTGGAGGGAGTAATGAAAAAAAAATATGACTTATGGGTTACTCATAAGATATTTTATAAATTTGTTTAAACACATGTGTGAGTTGCATGACTGTCATCCATCCATGATTGGATCTCATACGCACTTATGAAATAAGATAAAAACAAAAAATTTATTTATAAGCTCTTTGAAACAAGCTTCAAGTATACAAATTTTTACAATTTTTAAAAAAAGTTTTTTTATCAATGGGAAAGACAATAAAAGGAGGAGAAAGAAAACTAAGTACCCCTAGGGTACAAGGTTCCTATAGCATCCGCAAGGATAAAAACAAATAGTTGTCTTGGACACTCAGACAAAGCAAAAAATTAATTTGAAGAATTGACTCCTAATTTTTGTTAACCAATTAACACATTTGTTCCCTTCCTTCTAAGTATATGTCTAGAGGAGATATCCTAAGGGAGAGTGAAAAACAAAACTCTAATTTTGGAAATTAGAAGAGCATACAAGTGAAATAGCGACGTCTCTTACTTGATTAGCAACAACCCATTCGTTGAGTCTAACTCATAAATAACAAAATTATATCCTGTCTCATGCGCAATATGAAGACCGTGATAAATGACTAACAATTTTGCATATATATTAGTCGAGACACCACAATATCTTACAAATCTTGAATCTATTGCTAGAGAAGATTTCTAAGAAGACTTCCAAGATCTGACTTGCTTGGATTTTCCAAAGAGTTCCCATTTTTGTTGATTTTGATAATAAACTTATTCGGAGCAAGCCATCTAACTAGAAGATGGTCGACAAAAGCATAATTTTTTTTATTGAAAGTTGAAATGGATAGAGCCACCATGGTGTTGATTTGGTTGATCACATATCATTCATGGCGAACAAGCTCTTGAAAAACTTCATAATTCCTTGCCTTCTAGATTGTCCAAGCAGTGATTGCAAAAAACATACCTCTACTATAGTTTGAACTATCTCTTAGCCAACTATGAAAGTCATTATCATCATCATCCCACAAAATGAAATTGAAAAAGCTCCAAATCTGCTTAGCTTTACGACAGTCTCTCAACACATAGAAAAAGTCCTCCAACAAAGCATCATACTTACAATAAGAAGGGTCAAAATATATAAATCTTCCAACTCTAAAAGCGTTATTAAGTAAAAATAGGTGGCTAGAAAGCCACAAAAAGTGTTTAATATTGTATAGTATTGGAAGATAACACACCCAATTTCTAGAATTAAACAAGGTGATACGGGTAAGGTGGGCTCGAGTGATCCACCTATAAGTAGATTTGGTGGAGTAACGATCATTCACAAATGCATCCCAAATAATCACATCACCCATGTGATTATTAATGAATGAACTACTAATGAGATCTTTAAAATTGTTTGATACTTAATAAGATAATTCAAATTGATGTATTTTCTGAAAAATATATTATGTTAATTTGGATATATATGACAAAGTATCATATAATTTTAAACTTTGTAGTAATTTATAGACTTCAATATATTTATCAAGAGCTTATAATTTAATAGTTAAATTCTTAAGCCTATCAAGACTCAAGTGAATCCCCCCTCTTTCTTTCTCTCTCCCTCTCTCTCTCTCTCTCTCTCTCTCTTTCTCTCTCTCTCTCTCTCTCTATATATATATATATATGAGGAAAAAAAAGGTTATGCATTAACAATGTAAAATAAATTTACATTGTCATCGAATTAATTTATGAGCTTGTTGATTTTTAAACAATTATCTGTGTT